GCCGCCGCCGCCGCTGCCGCTGCTGCTCGGGCTGCTGCTGGCGGCCGCGGGGCCCGGCGCGGCGCGGGCCAAGGAGACGGCGTTTGTGGAGGTGGTGCTCTTCGAGTCGAGCCCGAGCGGCGACTACACCACCTACACCACCGGCCTCACGGGCCGCTTCTCGCGGGCCGGGGCCACGCTCAGCGCGGAGGGCGAGATCGTGCAGGTAGCTGCCCGCCGCCCGGGCCCCGCGCCGCCGCCGCCACAAGATGGCTCCGGGGGCTGCGCCCGCCGACCCCGCCGCGGGCTGGCGGGCGGGCGGGCGGACGGGAGGGGCGGCGAGGAGGCCGGCGGCATCCCTCCCCGGCCGGCAGGCGGGACGTGGCCTCTAGCGCGCCGCAGCGGGGAGCGAGTGCACGTGGGGGCTCGGCCTCCTGTGGGTCCCGAGGGCGGGAGGGGGACCCCGGGTCCGGATACCCACGTTGGGGCGGCCCTCTTGGGCCGGTTGGGCATTTCGGTTTGCCTCAGGTGGAAGTCCTGGAACTACCTGTTGAATGCCAACTTTGGAAAGATGAGTGATGAAGGATGGGGTGGCTTGTTTCAGGTCACAGGCTTTGCTTTCCATCCCTGCATGTTCTTTTTGAGATTAGCCAGGTTTGTCTGCGGCTGTACAGCATTAGGTTCTTTCCTGGAACCTGCCGCCAGCTTCACCTGGGCGCTGACCCCCCAGCAGGGCTCTGGACAAGCAGTAGCAGGCAAGGAAGCAGGGGGAGCTGGCGGAGGAGTGGGGATCGCGAGTGCCCTGGAGTGGCCGTAGAAGGCAGCCTTCGCTGCGTGCCTCAGATTACAGAGGGTGGGAGGGAGACTGCCTGCCCGCTCCTGGGCCAAGGACTTCTGCGGAGGGCCTGGAAATCCTGGAAATCGGGAGACAGGGTCGCTCACTGACAGGGCCTCCCCACCTTGCTCCCAGTGAGAGAGGTCTGCATTCCAAAGGGAGCTGGCGAAGGAGAGCTTTTATAAGCCGTGCCTACACTTTGGAGGAGGGACTGAGCTGGGTAGATGCCTTCCCGCTTCCTTGGCTATGATTTTATCAACTTGTTAGTAGACTGCCAGCGCACTTACGGCGGTTAATATGCATGCCTCGGATGCGGGCGATGAAACGGTTGGCTTGATTTGGAGCCCTTTTGGAGGTGATGGGATGGCTGCAGGGCTCTAAGCTTGGGGCCTTGTGTGCTTTACTTTGGATGAGTTATGAATGAAGAGAAGGGAACTGTATGGATGATTGCATAGCAGCCTCTTCCTTTCCCCTCCCGTGGTGCATGCTCAAAGCCCTGCGTGGATAGGACAGGGAGCTGTGCAGCTTGGCTCCTTAGAGGTGTGTCCTTACAAAGCTAGGGGAGGCACCCCTGCCAGGCGATTAATCAGCAGCATTGCCTCACAGAACTCTTATCCCCATCTCTCTCTTTTTTTTTAAGATTTTATTTATTTATTTGACAGAGACACAGCGAGAGAGGGAACTCAAGTGGGGGGAGTGGGAGAGGGAGAAGCAGGCTTCCCCGCGGAGCAGGGAGCCCGATGCGGGCTCGATCCCAGGACCCTGGGATCATGACCTGAGCTGAAGGCAGACGCTTAACGACTGAGCCACCCAGGCTCCCCGACTCTTATCCCCATCTTAAACTTCTGCAGGGTAAATAGAAGGGGAAACACATGTTTGAGTCCTGTGACTACATATGTTAAAGGCTTTTGGACTTCTTTCCTTGCTCATGTTATAATTATGGTCTTTAATTTGTAAGCTTTAGAGAAGATGGTCTGCTGAAGATTCCTACACATTTTAGTGGCAGCCTTCAAGAATAGTTTGAATCTTAAAGCTTGCTCCTTGTGACTCCTTGTTTCTCTTTGAGGCTTTCACTGTGCCCTGATGGCTTTAGAAATGTTTGACTTACAGCCTTCTAAGAGAAAAGATGTTTTAACATGGCACCTCACTTTTTGAAGGAGACTTTTGAAGTTTGCGATTTTTATCTGCAGTGTTTTAAACTTGGACTCTTTGTCCACACTAGTTTGTCTGGCGGGCTATCCATTATGGGTAGTGCTGGGCTTTGGAGATAATCTTGGGTTCACTATTTAATACAAAATTAGCAGTTTAAGCACACCATTTGTAGCTATTTTATCCTTGTGAGTAGAGCGAGAATGTATGAATTTGGCAGAAGGAATCTATTCTCTTTTGAATCTTTTTGAAGTGCTTATCTAACTCTTTTGAAGTCCATTAGCCGAGTGCCCCCCCAATTAAGTCAACAGTTGCTAAGTAAAGAAAAATGACTTAAATGGTATTTAATAAGTTGATTTGTTAAGCAATCACTAATAGGTGTCCTTAATTCCTTTGTAACTGCACAGTGTGTTGGTGAGTTTATCTGAGCTGTCTGAATAGTCATTTCTTGGTGTTCTCACTCCATATCTTTAATAACTTTGTTGTGGGGGCCTACTTGCAGAACCTCTTAAGTGCAGAGATGGAGCTCAGCGTGGCTCTCAGGGCTGTGTGTGTACAGAGGCTGGCATGCTTTTATTAGTTCTTCCAATATTGCCTGATTGCAGTAACTGGCGTGGCCCCTGTCAGCCCTGAAAGGTGTTTTTGTAAGGGAAGCTGGTGTTTCAGGACCGCTGAGAGGGAATGTAACGTTTTGTATGAAAAATGAGAAGGTAGAAGAAACAAATTGGTGTTCAGCTTCAGTTTAATCATGTTTTCGAAGTGCCTTGTTGAACTTTTCAAACCTCCTTTTATTTACTATCTTAAAATAACTGTGTGTGATTTGCTGTTTAGTATTTTATGGTCTTCAGAGCAGAATTCATTTTCGTGTAACTAAACCTAAACAGTGCCACTGAAGCATTGTTTATTTTCACTGGGGTTTGATAGTACTGTTGTTCATGGTTAAGGGGAGAAAAAGACCTGTTCGGGAGTCTAGGAGTTCTAAGATAGGAAATTGGTTTGTATTACTGTTTTTCCTCCCTCCCTATTATATACAATGATGGGAGATACCTTATCATAGTCTGGTTTGCCCCAGATACTTCTAATTAGGGTACCTGTTTGTCATTTGCATGCATTAGGGGAAGGGGGGACCTGGTTAAGAGTGTGTGTGTGTGTGTGTGTATTTGTGTGTGTGTCAGTGTCAGAGAGAGATAGTAATTCAAACCTTGGGATTAGTCACCAGGATTCTTGGTTCTCTTCTTGTGCATTTTAGGCTTAAATAACTTTCTCAAGGTCACCAGTGTGCTCTGTTAAGAGATTTTTTTTTCTTTTTTGACATCTTCATCTGTGGAAATAGTGAAAACAGTGTGTGGATATGAAATGCTATTAATTATATTATCTTATTTATTCATACAGCACTGAAGTCCATTTGCTCATAAAGTGTCAGGCGTACAGTGTGAATGCTGGAGGAATTACAGTTCTATCATTCTGAAGTGTGGAACTTGAAAGGGTTCTTAGACATATTGATACATATTTCATCTTTGAACCAATTTGTTGCTCTTATGAGATCATTATCTGAAACTTTCAGACTTGGCTGCACAACTCACATGGTTAGTGATGTTAAATAAAGGCCTGATTAAGCACTGGCTAGTGGTATGTGGATTGGTTAAACAAACAAAGAAAATTTGCATCGCTAGAGATGAAAGATTGTTTTAAAGTGGAAAAGCATTTTTCCCCCCTTGAAGTCAAATATTTAGAAACGCTTGAGAAATTCATTTGTAGAAGGACTCTGAATGATAGGTTTTGTGTAGCTCTAAAATTGGCCTTTCTGTATCCTGGGTTAAGTGTTGAATGGTCTTGAAAGCAGAGGAAAGTTGAGAATATTTAAGAACTAAGCCAGCGCCTTTAGCTATGAGGGGTTGGGGGAAGCTGGGTAGTGGGTTAGAAGGGCTGAGTGACATCCTTAAATATCCAATATTAACTAAGGGCATCACAGAGAATAATTTTAGGAAACTAATTTTTCTGCCTTGTTTCCCTGTCAGTGTGTTTCTGCAGTTTGGTATTTGATCAAATCCTTTTCTTTTCATCTCCATTTTAAGTTAAGAGGCCTGCCTCTAAAAATTGTCTTTGCCTCATAAAACAATTGTGTGTTGGCAGCTGATCTGGATTTACACAGAAAGAGATTGCTGACTGTCTTGTCAAAAGGGCCTTCATAGGTTAAAACCAAGCATTTGATTTTGGGGAAAACATTAGGGCTGTGTTTTGTGACCTTATGAATTCTTAGGGGCTCTTATTTTCTGCCTTGTTCTCTAAGATCCCATGGGAGCTGCTAATGCAGCGCTGAATGGAGGTGCAGATGGGAGTGGGAGGTTTAAGTGTGGAATCTGCAGACCAGAGTGGAAGGTGGTGATGGCCTCCATTTATTGTGTACAGGGCACTATGCCAAGCACATCATGTCTTTACTCATCGCCTCCTGACTTTAACATGGAATTAGCAACTACTGTTAACCCATTTTACAGATGAGGAAACTGAGACCGAGAAAGGCGATTTGATTTACCCCAACCCTCACCCAGCTAGCAGATGATAAAACCTGGATCGAAACCCAGGTCTGTCTGGCCCCTTTGCTTCTGTTTGTTTGTTTTTTTTTAAGATTTTTATTTATTTATTTGAGAGAGAGAATGAGAGAGAGAGAGCACGAGAGGGAAGAGGGTCAGAGGGAGAAGCAGACTCCCCGCTGAGCAGGGAGCCGGATGCAGGACTCGATCCTGGGACTCCAGGATCATGACCTGAGCCGAAGGCAGTCGCTTAACCAACTGAGTCACCCAGGCGCCCCCTTTGCTTCTGTTTTTGCCAAATATGTAGAACTTGGCTGGTTAGGTTTGGGCATTAATTTGAGTCTAATTTCTAGCAATCTAGTATGGGGGTTCTTTTTTTTTTTAAGATTTTATTTATTTATTTGAGAGACAGAGAGGGAGTGAGAGAGGGCATGAGAGGAGAGAGGGTCAGAGGGAGAAGCAGATTCTCCGCTGAGCAGGGAGCCCGACGTGGGACTCGATCCTGGGACTCTGGGATCTCGACCTGAGCCGAAGGCAGTCGCTTAAGCAACTGAGCCACCCAGGCGCCCCTAGTATAGGGGTTCTTAACCTCAAGTTCACAGACTTCCAGGGAGGGCCTGTGAACCCTTGAAATTATATGCACGGTTATATACACAATGCATTTGTGGATGTACTCTTCTCTTTTTCTGAGAAGATACAGTTTTTCCTCTT